GTGTGCCCGTGTGGCTTCTTTGCATGTGTGTGGAGACCTCCTGACCATTAGATTCTTTATTAACAACCTTGCCATGTAACTTGTGGTTACTCTATATAAAAGGATGAATAAAGGAACAATGGTTTATTACTTTGGAGTTTTTACTTTATGAATGGATTGTAAACCGCCTTTAGTTGTAGGAACACGTATATAGTCTCGGTCATTTTGTCTGTCATTAGAAGAAGCTCTTGTAAACATAATTTGAGTAACTGATATAATTGAGATACTTTTTTTTTAAGCATGAGGAAGTGCTTTAAAAACAATAAAAATGAGGACTTTTCAGTCTCTGTTGAGGATTTATTAGGAATTTTAATACATATTGATCTATTTAAACCTCACAAAAACTTGGGAGGTAAGCATTCCTACTTGGAAATTGAGATATACAGTTTTAATTTCTCACCAGTTTTGTATAGTCAGATGATGGTTTGATGAAGAAGAGCAAAGAAATTCCTTTGGAAAGAGATTTTCAGTGGCTACAAATGTAAAACCTTCTGCCTCTGCACTCTTGTCCTGTTACTGATGAAATGTTTATGTGAACCTCACAGTTCAAATAAAAGACGCAGCTGGTCCTCTGTTAGCGAAGGATGCTGAAGAGCTGCCTGTTGCCAGTGAGTAACCTGACAGCCCTGGAGGGCAGGAGAACGAAGGGTTCTCCTGAGAACACTTAAAAACAGTTAAGAGAAACTGAGAAACAGTTAAAGAGAAAGAGTTCTGCTGTTCCTAGTGTGTCCAGGTAGTTCAGTCCTGCAGACGTATTCCAAAGATGCCCGTTTGTACAGCCCTGACCTGCCAGGTGCTTTTGACTTTAAAGTTAAATGGGTGGGGATTAGAAAGATGGCTCAGAGGGTGTACAGCTCTTACAGAGATCTCAGATTTGGTACGAGCACTTGCATTGGATGGCTCGTAACCGCCTGTAACTCCAGCTGTGGGATCTGGCACCCTCTCTGGCCTCCGTGAGCACCTTCATTCATGTGCGTACTTCCCCATCCCCACCATACACACACAACTCATAAATAAAAATAAAATCATAAAAATTAAATGTACTGCTATTTATATACTAGTAAGCAATCAAATGAAGCTCTAAAAATTAGGAGAACTTAGAGACAGAGCAGGTCCGTGATCTTGAAATACAAAAAAAAACCTCCCTGAAAAGTGTTTCCAAGGCTACATTAAGTCAGCATAGAGTCATAAGTTAGGTAACTATGTGCAGCATAGAGGCTTGATGGCCGAGGAGACCTAGGGTGAGGACTGAGTTCAGGTGATTGTGGATGCGATATGGAGCGGTCTTCAGGGGTCCCTCTCTGGCGGCCACCTTTACTTCCATCAGGTCTTAATGTTTGGTATGCTAAGAAACTCCTTTTGGAAGCTGTTTCTAGAATGAAATCGGCCCAAAGACAAGGACTCTTCTATCTCTGAAGTTATTGGAACCAGACAGACTGTTTATTCTTTCTCTGTTGTTCAGTGTGTATAAGGCCTCTCTCCCATACATCCTTTTCCCCACAGAACACTTTATGTGTCCAGGTGGTGGTGCTTGGTGAGAATGAACTCAAAAAGAGCGGCTCTCAGCCTTCTGTGCCCAGGGGCCGGGTTCTTGGCCCTGTTAACCTGTTAACTAAGAAACCGATGGTGATAAATTCTTGCTTTTTGTACTATACCCTATTCTAATTTTCCAATAAATCTATTTCTCCCTTCTGCTAAGAAACTTTTTTCTCTCCATTCCAGGCATGATCCAGTCTTACCTTCTAACATAATTTTACACTGAATCTGAAAGATCCCTTCTTACGCCAAGATTAGCCATTAAGAAAAGACAAAGTATTGAAAGAGAGACTAGGGAAGATAATACCTGTCTCTGAAAATCTTGCTGGGTTTCAATGCAAAACTCCAGTTTTTAAAATAGTGAGGCATTCTTTTGTATTGCTTAGTTATATAGGTCGATTGAAGTATTAGACATTTTGATCACTAGATCATTCCAGGCATAAACATTTCTCAGAACTAATTGTAGCAACTCCCAGTAACTGTGTGACTTTCACATTCCTGAAAGGATGGTTATCTGCTAGCTAGCTGAAGCTGTATGTTGTATTATATTGGTCTTGTTGGTCCTCCTGAGTGCCGCTAGAAGGGTCGAGTATTTTCAGTATGCTTAAAAAAAAAAATCCCACATTGTAAAACAAAACAGAGTAAGCTAGGTTTAGCAGTTGTGGCTAGCACGGTTTGCATTTTCCTGTAGCGACAGAGTCTTGAGCATTTGGCCTGCCTGTAAGTGGTGAGGTCTGACTGACTTCTGCTTGCTCCTCCCAGAGTGAGAGCTCACTGCTCTGGTGTGCAGCTACAGACTTCTGCTCTTTGTGTTAACAGTATTCTGGATGCAGAGGTAGAGAGTGGTGAGCACTTGTCATTCCAGAGAACACAGTGGCTTAATTTGGGCAGCCTCCCAACTCCTTTTTATAACAGAGTAAACATCTCACCCTTTAAGAGAGCAGCTATCTACTCCTGGTGGTTTAAAAAGGACTATTGTCTATTTCCTGAAGTAGGTTCTAGAAAGTTGTCCGACTCCTTCAAATGGTTTCTATATTTGAAAGCTGAATTTGATGTCTTTAAAGTTGATTCTCTTCAGGACCATGAGTAAATTACTCAGTATAGATTCTGTGCAGTAAAAGTTGTCCCCAGGATTAATGGTGACAGTAGACAGACCCTGCCTTCCTGTCCTCACAAGCTTTCGGGTGTAAAGGTGTTGTCAGTGGCTATATTTCAGGTATTCACATGCCTTTAGAGAAAGTTCTCAACATGTGGGTCATGATCCTTTTCCCAGGAGTCACATATCCAATATCCTCTATATCAGATATTTATATTATGATTCATAACAGTAGCAAGATTACAGTTATGAAGTAGCAACAAAAATAATTTCATGGTTGGGGGTCAGCACACCATGAGGAACTGCATTAAAGGGTCCCAGCATTAGGAAGGTTGAGAACCCCTGCTCTAGAGCGAGCATGTGGTGACTGCTCTCTCTCCCTCTGCAGTCTCACGTTACGTCCACACCCTCAGACATTATTAAAATAACCTTACCCACTTCCTTTATAGATGTGAACCTCAAGTCCAGCTTTCCTCTAAATTCTCAAGAAATGTTCTTATATATTTGTACGCTGTGTTTGTGTTTAGAATAAATAATTGTTTTGAGAGGAAGTTATATAACATAACAAAAAGAAGCTTATTTTCAAATATCATCAGTTTCAAGGCATAATCAAAAAGGCTGATGCTTATAGAACTGTAGTAAATCTGCCCTCTTTCTATAAGTCTTCGGGAAACTGTAAATGAACTGTTTGTTCCTAGTCTCCTGGCCCAGATTCACTTCTCCCTTCAGAGGCTGGCTTGCTCGTTCATCATATCTGACAGTTTGTCATCACGGGTGCTCATCTAGCGTGCCTAACCGTAGAGGGCTGTGGACTAGCACCACTAAAGGAAGTTCTGTATTTCCAGTAGTTCTGATTAGTATTGTTATCTCCACTGTCTGACACGTGAGCAAGTTAGTAAGGGCAAGTCAAGGGAGAAGGCAACAATTTAATGTTTTTGCACATTTGAAGATTATTTTCTTTGTATTGCTTTAAAGTGTGCTTACACTCTTAATTTTTACCTAAATATAAGGTTGTACAATTTATTTGTTGGGTATTTGGATATTGTAACAGTTGGTCAGTATAGTTGGTAGGTCCTCTGTTATTACAGATTGCATCAGCATTTTCAGAAACTGTCTTCTGCTGAGATGCTTTCTTTCTGTGCCTGCATTAATTACATCCTTGTTCACACACCCAGAAGAGAGTGTATTGCTGTAAAGATTTGGTTTGTTTGTTGGAAAAAAAAGAAATGTTTTATTTTAATGAAGGCATATTAATCAACTACCTTTAATCTTCATACTAAAAGGTGTAACATGAGCAATTATAGAGCGCCTTATGGAATTTTGTTATTTATAGAAGTCTGTAAAACCCAGAGTCACTAGCACTTTTTGCATCCTGGTAGTTCTATATTCATTGATGGTTTTTTATGTATCATTGGATATTCATTCATTTTTAATGTTTATTTGCAGACAGTTGAATTGAGTGGAAATAACTAGGCTTTTAAAAGAATTACTAAGAAAGCAGGTGTCCTCAGAGGTTATAATTGAATGAAATGGTTCTTGTAGAGGTGTTTGACACTTTTGTAGTTCAGTAGTTTTTTGACATGATGTAATATTGATTTGATTTCTCCAAGGGGACTCCAGGATATATGTATACATAGAAACTTGTTAAATCTTTAGAATATTTTCTGAGTAGGCTTAAATATTCCATAAAACAGAAGTATTGCTAAATTTGTTACATCTGAATATAATTTTTCTATTTTTAATAGGATACAACATCTATTGAAAAGATGTCAAACTGTTGTGAAGAAATGTAAGTATAAAGTCTATAGTGATCGTACTTAAAAATAAAAACAACTTAGAACCTTTGAGAATTGTGTGCATATGTTAATAGTAGGAAACTAATATAATAATGACTTTTTCTTGGTGCCCCGTCTGAGGCCCAAGCTAGACAGGCGTATCCCAGTCTTACAGTAGGGGTCTTTCAGCCATCAGAGTTTTTAAACACAATAAGTACTGATCACTCTTGTTTCTTGTCTCGCAGAAGTAAGTTAAATTATTTGTCCCAAAAGTACATCAAAAGAGATTTGCTACTGTGTTGTTGACACACATTCTGTTATGCTGAGCTCCTCCTCTGCTTCCAGAGTTACCCTGGGTTGATTGACGACGCAGATACAATATCTGCTATCCAGAGCTGAAGTTCAGCTGCATGCCACATTGAAAGAAAAGCTGTATTTGTGATGCTGGGACACAATGCATCAGAGTCCAGTAATGGATCCCCAGCCAACCTGTATTGTTTCAGCTGACTGAAGTGCACCATGGGAGTGCTGTCTCTCACTAATAATGCTGTCTTCTGTAGATCGCGGCCCCGGAAGCCATGGCAGCAGACCTTCTCAGAGGTTTTTGGCACTCGTTGGAAGATCCTGTGGTTCATTCCTTTCAGGCAGAGGCAACCACTGCGCGTTCCCTACCACTTTGCCAATCACGTCTAACAGATGGATGGTGGGCACAGATGGGTCCTCCATGCTGGAAATGCGTTACAGGTTTTATGAGAATAGAACTATGACAGTCTTCAAGTCAATTAAAATCCACCCACCAATCTTAGGCATCATAATGTGCCCCAGGCTTTATTTTAATAGTGATCTTGATCCTGTTGTGGGACTAATACAAGATCTATATTTAAGTTTTAAAAGCATGTTTACTTTCAAATTAGCCTTCCACTAGGATTTCTTTAAATGCTTTTGTTACTAAACTCAAAAGGCAGTGATTCGGATGAAATAATTGTACATAAATTTCCTTCAGTACTCACAGTATCTTAAATTTTAATTTATAGGAAATTTGAGATGTTTAATGTTTACCTTTAAGCAGTACTAACCAAATTTGAATTTAATTCTTCAGGTTTACAAAACTTGGTACACTTTCTTATGTGTAAATTTTCTTTTTTGAATATGTTACAATGCTTTTTACTACTTCCTTTTACAGTGCTGCAGGCTTTTAACATGCAGTGTAGGGTGAGCAGCAGAGGACAGCTGGCCTAGGAGCAGCTCTCCGGGCCTTCCTTCTTTCCTGCTCCTCAGAGGCGAAGCAAGGTGCACGAGTCATGCGCCAACTGCTACCTTATTAGAAACGAGAACCTCACTGTCCCTTCCGCTGCGGTAGTGATTGTTACAGGATGTTTGCTCCCGGGAAAATTAGTGACCAGTCAGGCATCTAGTCCTGTTTTCCCCTAGGATTCTAAAGACTGAAAAGAATAGGAAGTTTGCAATAATTCCAGTTACTTCTTCAAGTGCAGTTATATCAGAATGCAGATGTTTTAAAATGCTAATATAACTGGATGGTGTGTAATACACAGTATACAAAGGAATACTGTGTTTTAAAGTATGTATATTTTTACTTACCTGCCAGTAGATCTCTCTGTACACATTGATGGTTTATATATTATATAATAGATACTGGTCAACTCAGATCAAAGTTTAAAAGTAGGTCATTAACTTTATATATCAGTAATCACCCAGGTTGAAATTGAATTTCCATTGCCCAGTTATGATTTACATCACTCTAGAGACCTTTTATTAATAGCTGATGCCAAGAAATTATCTTAAAGAAGAATAGTCCATGGTAGTGATGGTCCTTGACATGGAGCCTTTTTGTATTTGAAGACATTTTTGTATAATTTAATTTTTTCATTTAGAACACTGCAAATCCATATGTTTGAAAAGTGTGTGTGCTAGTGATCTTTCCCCTGAAAATAATAGTGAAGAAAGCTACTACTCCTGAACCATATACATACTTTTCTTAAGGTTGTTGTAAAGTACAGAATCATAGCTGGGAAATGCTGAGACAGAGATAATTATTGTTAGCTAGTCAGCTGTACTGTGGCTAGTTCTTTCAGATACTGTAAATGTCTTATAAAATATTCTGAAGTAATAGAATAAGCTCTTTTCAGAAATATTAATGCCATATTTTCATGTTCTAATTATGTTTATTATTTAAAGTCTTAGAAGTGGCAGATGAAAATATTTATTGGTGCTAAGACATTTAGTAAGTTTAATATAAGAAACATTTATAAAGGTTAGGAAACATAAAATTAGTGTGTTTATTTTAAGAAAAGGGGTTGGATTTTGTGCAAGCTGATTGACTAAATTGGCTGATGACAGATTCTAAAAGGAAGTGGTGTATATATAATGTAGGGAGATACAAGTTGATGCCTTCAGCTGTATATATTCTATTCACATAAGACCTGGAGCATCCATAGCAGAGCCAAATAAAGGCCTGGTATGGAGCTTTGTAGACTTGCTTATATTCTGGAGTAGCAGTAGCTCTGACACAAGGTAATGGGAATGATCTCTTTCCCATACTGAGGATTGTGGGTATGGTTTTCTTAGGTTTACCACTTCTAGGGCACATTCTCTTCCCTTTGTCTTTACTCTCCTGGGTCCCGATCCTCTCCACAGTTTCTTTGAGTCATTGGACTACAAACTAATGCACTAGTTTGAGCTACAGAAATGCTACTGTCAATGTATTTACATAATCTATATTGCAGTATATCTATATATACTTATGCAGTATTGTCAAATGTATGTCTAACCCCACGAGGGGTTTGTAATCACTGTTGGATTCCTGGAGAAACGCCTATTGGCCATTTCCTAGGGATTAAGCTCCTATGTTCTTTCTGCGCCCTCTTTTGGCTAATTGATGTAATTATACTGGCTCTAGGCTTTCACTGTCCCATTAGTGGGTTGTATCTCCAATCTGTGAACATGTCAGAGGTACACACTTATGGGAATATATGTAGAAAAGTGTAAAATTTTATGAAAATTGAAAATGAATGTGTTACTGTTGGTGATGCTCCTTCTAGGTAAATTGCTTGGCTTCATGTATGTGTATTCTTGTACACTTTACTGTCAATCACAAATTTAGATTAGGATAAGCTATTTCATATTTTACTTTAAACCTTATTTTGGTAATTTAATTCGTTATCATTATGAAGACTTACTTTAAAATTACTATTTTATTACAGAACAAAACATTTATTACAATTGCTGTGGCAACCATGTTATCCAATGTGTTTTACTGAATATCAAAAAAATACATTTAATTTTTCAGTTCAGTATTGGAGTGGTCTCACACATACACAGACTCAATTGCCTTAAATAATTAATAATTGATTAATAATACTATTTTTTCTTTGCTTTTTAAGAAACCTTCTCAGTCAGTTAAGCCTGTAGATTCCATAGTCGCCTCCCTTGTCACTCTGAATAGCCCTGGGAATGACTGCATGTGTGGCGTGCTGGAAAGCACCTAGCAGTGAGATTGCCTTTCAGTCTGTATATTATGTTGAAGTATTTGTTTATAAGTTCCCATTTAAGTTTAGCAAAATGTGTGTTAAATGATATTTTACATTAGCAGAATCATTTCTTGGGCTTCTGGAGTTAAAATATTATTATTGGGCTGCAGTTACACTTGGCAAACAATTAGGGATGGGCCTGCAAGGTGGCTCAGCACAGAAAGGCATTTGCTGTGCAAGACTGGTGACCAGATTGTTTCCAGAACCCATTTAAAGGTGAAAGTGAAGAAAAAAACAAAAACAAAAACCAAACCTGGCTCCACAGAGTTGTGCTCTGACCTCTAGAAACATGCTTGGCACACAGGCTCCTCCCCAGCATCATGTGCGCGTGCGCACGCTCTCTCTCTCTCTCTCTCTCTCTCTCTCTCTCTCTCTCTCTCACACACACACACACACACACACAATCTTTAAAACTTTAATTGGATAAGTTTAATGTAGGCAACAATGGACTTAGTTCATAGTCTCTTAAACATTAAGTGAGCTATTTAAGAGTCTTGGTACTTTGTAACCAGACTTGTTTCAAATTACTAAGCTAGCTGATGTTACATGAAAATAAAAACACTATTTTGTTTAAAAATTATTTTAAAATATCTTAGTTAATATGAAAGAGCCATTTACAATTGTAGCTAACATAGTAACTCTGTTTCAGAAGACAGTTTACTTAATAGTAATAAAGTAGGGGCTGGGTGTACCTCAGTGACGGTGCACAAGAGGCCCTGGTTCAAGACCAGGAGGAGAAAGGGAGAGATGTAGAGGAAGTGAGGCAGCCCTCTCAGCTAACACTGGACCATCTCCCTAATGCGGAGAGGTGGCTCCAGTAAGGATGGTAGCTCATTCTAACCAGTCTTAATCGACTTCAAGTTACTTCTAAACAAGTAACTGTTTTGTGTGAAGGATGTGTTAATCCTAAACACTAATCACAAAGATCCAAATTATGAGCACACTTCCAAACAGGAAGTACCAATGAATTTAGATGAAAGCCACATAGTTTCCTATGTTAGATCATAGGTAGTTTGAATGTTCTTACATGCATTGCTAAAAATCACAACCTGTCTTGCAGTGGCTTAATATGGCACTAATATTCATTAACATTTGCTAATTTTTGTCTAGACTGTCTGTCTGTTCTCTGGCTAGTTAGTTCTCTTGTATGTCACGTGTCCGATAACCTAGCTACAGTTCACTAAACTATAGAAGTTCATTATGTAAATTTTGACATGAACTCTACTACATGGATATATTGGAAATTTATTACAAACATTATATATTTACTAATAGTTAAAACATTAGACTTTCATCCACCTCTATTAATGCTTTGAAAATTACAAGTATTGGCAAATGTAGTTAGTAAGTCCTATAAACTTAGTGTGTTCTACTTGCTAGTATTATTGACCATATAGTTAACTAATGAGTGAGTATATGATTCAGTACCCACATCTGTTGCCTTCTGTTGTAGGTACCATGCTCAGAATTTACCTACCCATACAGATTTTAGCATAGTTATGTTTAGCTGTTCTTAGATTCTACTATACTCTATAGCAGACGTGGGGAAAGATTAGAAGCTGTTTACTTGAAGTATTTTATCCCAGTATCGTCATTGACTGTAGGAACTAATAGTTAGCATTTATGCTGCCTTTGTGATGGTTTAACTTCAAGAAGTGACTTTTCTCACTTCCATTATCTTTCTGCTTTTTTTTTTTTTAAACAAAATTTATTTTTAAAAGCCATTTTGTTAAAACCAAATAACATTTTTATCAGTTCTTTAGATGTGGCAATATTATCTGCTAGTGATAATTTGGAACAAATTATTATTATTTGAAGACAGTGTTTCACTGGCTTTGAACTCAGAATCCTTCTACCTTCGCCTCCCAGGTTCTGGGGTTACAGTCGTCATATGCTGCTGTGTTTGGCTTCATGCTTAACATTCTTGAGTCATTGGTATTACTGATGTCATTATCATATCTTTTACTATATTGTTGTTTTTCCTCCCCACGTACCCTAGAGTTCAGGTACCAATGAGCAGTGAATAGCCAAAAATTGGATAAAGAAAGTAGGAGCATTAGTAGGATGGAGAGAAGGCTGAATGGACATGAATAATCAGCCTCTCTGCAAAAGAGTTGACTGGGCCTGGGCCTGGGATACCAGAGACTCCCCTTGCCATCTCCTCATCCCCGGCTAGCACCATTTACTGTAAGAGTTGTTTGTTCTGGAAAGCATTTGCTCCGAGTTATTTCATCTCCACTTATATTGCTCTTTCTCTTCAGCTGGCCAGATGCTCTTGAGAGATGGTTTTTAATTTTAGAGAATTGTGTAGGCTATGTTAACCTGCATCGATTTTAACATGCACATGTTAAAATAACATGGAAGTGCAGCTGTGTGATACAGAGGAGAAATCATAGGTTGCCCGACATTTGAGAAAACTGGAACCTATTTTAGCAGTCTCTTAGGGCAAAAAAGAACACTGAGTCACCAGAGAAAATCAACAGTTTAGGTATGAAGGATGGTTTACACTTTAAAGATTGGGGTCTTCTGCTGTTCTTAAGACCCTGGCGGTCTTCGTTTCTGTTGGCATTTTTAATTCATTGCCTCGTGTGTGTGCTGGTAGTGCTTCCCACACTTGCTCAACTGTATAATTAACTAATTACACACATATTAACATATTTTTCATCTCAGAAGCTTTATGTGTAAAGATGTGGCCTGAACTGCCATAACCAGACCATCTCCTTTTGTAGCTTTGCTTGCCCATTTCACTCAGCATGGTGTCTGATCGTTTGTAGGCTGTCAGTTAAGAGAGAAGATTGTGTGCGTACTGTGAGCTTTGTGTCCGAGCCAGTGTGGATGGATGGTGTTTTAACCTCCTGGTGCCTGAAACTTGTGTTTTACAACCTGGGCAACTAAAACATCCTGGTGCTATTCACTTTAGCTTTGAGTTACAGTTTTAATTCTTGAACCAAAGAGTTAATTTTCTTTTTGGTTGGCTGGAAGTTAGCTTCTCACATCTATGTCTGAAGAAGTGAACAGTTGATGGAGCTTACTTTCTCTGTGTGCTGGCTTGGCAGAGTCAGTTGAAAATGATAGTTATTTAGACTTAGTTTTCATTCTGTTATGCAGAGTGGTGTGGGTTTTAATTTTGTATTTTAATATAGTGTGGCTACTTTATAAGGTCTTTTACTAGCTGAAGCTACTAAAATTATTGAATCACTTTTCCCCTTGGTTTCACTTTGGCAGAGAAGAAAAACATTATTTCTATAAGCAAAGTATTCTATTAGACACAAATGCTAAAAGAAAGGGCAAATAATGTGTCCATTTTTAATTACAAGTCAAGAATTTAGCATTTCTCTCTATGTGGGTATAATCCTTAATGGCTTAAAGAATGGTATAGGTATTTGCCTATTTTTGAAAATAAGATGAAATTAAAGGACACTTTAAAAAAATATAAACCATATACACACTTTCCCAATAGGAAATGCAAAAGTACCTTGATTTGAGCAAACATCAACTTCTTGAACAGAAGTTGAACTTTACAATAGAAGCAGTCTGGATGCTGCTGCTTACATGGAAATTAGAATAAGATTGTTTTACAAACAGATTTTTTTAGTGATTCATTTCACATGACTGGCAGAACACAGTCCTATGGATGGACTTGTCTGGAGGTAATACTGCTGCATGTGGTTGGCGTCCCTGTTCTTCCCCAGAAGCTCTACAGACACTCATCATGTCTCCTTAAAACTGAAGCTGAGTGACTGACGGACTCAGGCCAGGAAGTGACAGAGCAGGCGGCTGGGAAAGTTGACAGTCTCACTGACATAGCTCTGTTGTTTCCATCGGCTTCAGTCTGTGTCTCCTTAATGTTGATCCAGTATGTGGTTTGGCAGTGAATTCTGAATGGAAAAAAGAATCAAGTCTAAAACTTGAGAGGTGACGAACTCATGTGCATGAAGTATGTCCAGATGAGCAGATAAGAGAGGAAGCAGGCACTGGGTGGGGAGGGCGGCGGGGAGGGCAGCACTGTGTCCCTTGTGAGTTGTGTCGCCACTGGATTGACCCATAATAATCCTACTCCTTGTCCATTGTTCAAAAGGTAGAATGTAGTAATTTTTCCCAAGTTGTAGATAGGAACCAATTTACCACTGCTTTCTGTGTCTTGGTGTGATTATTAAAAAGCAAAGAAAAAATTAATATAGATAGAAAAAAATCAACTGAAGGTAAAAAAGGAAGAAATTCCACCCCAATCAGAGGTATGCAGATCAGTGGGTTGTGAGCCCAAGACAGAAGAGGCTCTTGGGAAAACCGAGTTCGTGGACCATGATAGATGAGCACACTCTGTGCCTGGGATTACTCTGGCAAATGCAGTCACCACCTGTGTCATTTTGAGACTCCTAAAATTCGATGTCAGCCCCAATTCTCACATATTCCTAATGAAAGACCCTTCCTGAGTTGTAATAATGGTGTTACTGTCAGTGTCTAGGAAGACCCTGTCTGAAAGCTTGCCGTGTGCTTTTCAGTCAGCTGTAGTGTGTGTGAGCCTGAGGGCAATTGCCTGCCTTGTCTGCTGTTTTGCTTTGTCTTACCCTAAGAAAATCTTCACTAACATTTCGAGTGTAATGAGGGGGAGAGTGCGTAAGAGAAGCAAGAGTGCTTCGAGGAGAGGAAGGATGCTGAGAGGTGGGAACTGTGAGAGGCCTCATTTGTCTAGATGAGAAGTCTACACTGCTTCTTGGAGGGAAAACGAACTGTGTATCTACCTTAAGAACAACATTGCTTTTAATTTATTTTAGTGATTTGTTTTATTCATGTAATGTTCTATTTTCTTTGCAAATTGCTTTTAATTTAAATTGTGGAATTTTTACTTCTCTTGAGATGTACTATGTACTGTATTTTTAGAAATCTTATTTTTAAATAAATATTTTTGAAAAACATAGGAGTGTTTTTATCCCCTTACCTCCTTATTTATTAAAATCTACCCAAATTCTGGATTTTAGAACTACCATGTTTTAAGAATCCTCCCTTCCCAAGCGTTGTGCCATTTGGATGAATATTTAAAGTTAGTGGCCCTAGGCTGTTCTACCACAGCCACAGAATTCATCTCCTAGTCAGGAAGAACTAGGTGGGCATAGTGGACTTCAGCGTCAGAATTCCTAGGCAGGCAGATTAACCAGTCTAGAGATCAGACTGCTCCATTCAGCTGCGCAGGGTCGCTGTAGCATGCTAGATGCTGTTGGACGGAAGTGCTTGTCTTGCACACAGTCAACTGTAGTTTTAGTCCAGATGCTGCTTTACATCTGAGGTTTGGAATTACAAACTTATGTATGTGTGCTTAGGACACTACTTTATACAGACTTTCAGGGCTTTTATGGACAAGCCTCCAAGCCTCAAGACACTGCTTGCTGTGAACACAGTATATTAGTGAGAATGAGCTGAGCACCAATGGGTCAGGGCCACACAGGTGACCTGTCAGGTCACCTTGGGAATAAAAGAATGAATAACTTTTATCCTTTGATATCCTTACATTTTTTTAAACAGAAAAGCAATTATGACAAATACTCTGTATTAACATGACTTGTAGATGAGACTGTAAATTTTGTTGTTTGGTGAACCAAAGCACTCATTGCCTTCTGACAATTCAGATACTATAAAACTTCTGCCTGGTTCTTTTCACATTTTTTTTTTTTTCTAATTCTAAGTGGCATATGCTCAGTGGGGATACATTACAACAATTTTCATGTTTTAGCCTCAGGCCTCCTCAATATTCATAAAAATTATTGCAGATATTGTCATTTTTTACATGTTATCTTTATTGATATTTACTGTACCCTAACTTTAAAGGGGGGACTAGGAAGGTGGGTCCACAGTCAAGAGTGTTTGTTGTCCTTGAAGAGGATCTGAATTTGGTTCCCAGCATCCACATCAGGCAACTAATAACCAGGACTCTATCTCCTGGGGATCTGACGCCCTCCTGCCGTCTGCAGCTGCCTGTGCCCAATTGTGCATGCATACACACAAAACAGACAGACACACACAAAAAAATGACAAGAGGGGAAGTTAGATCGTATGTATTTAAACATAAGCTCACCATGAATTAACAATTTTAGTATTTCTGTGAAACATAGCTACCTTCATAGAAGAAAGTTGGTTTCACATTGCTTTATGATTTAATCAGCTACCTTGTTACCCTGAAGTCTGAAGAGACTTGGTCTTGTGCAGAGAATGCAGTTGGAGAAGGAAGGGGTATTTTACCAGCTTCTTCAAGTAACTGATTATTCTTTTGTATGATACAAAACACAAGTGTGTCCCAGGGATGATGGCAGTCACCAAGAATACAAATGACAACTAATGCTGGTGTGGATGTGGGAACAGAAGAAGCCTTATATACCGTGGTTGAGAATGTAAACTGTTGCAGCAACTTTGGAAATCAGTCTGGAAGTTTCTCAAAAAGCAAGAAATAAAGCTACCATATGACCCATCTACAGTATGTACCCAAAAAACTCACACTCCAGAGATGCCTGCATATCAGTGATGCTTTTTGCTGTAGTCCAGGTATGTAGGCAGAGGAAACAACTTAGCCGCCTACCAACTAACGAATTACAAAAGTGTACATACGCACAGTGTAGTTTCATTCACCTGTAAAAAAAAGTGAAATGTTCGGATAAATGGAAGAAACTAGGAGGAGGAGGAGGAGGAGGAGGAGGAGGAGGAGGAGAAGAAGAAGAAGAAGAAAGCACACCCGTTGAGGCAAACCAGGCCCAGAAGGACAAATGCAGACTCTCGCATGGACTAGTTCTAACTCTAGTACATGTGGAGGCCCAGAAACAAGGAAGCAGAATGTGGGGCGGGGTTCTGGATAGGGGAGACGTGAGACACGGGAAGGAAAGCAGAGGAGGGGACATTGAGGTTGAAAGGTTGAAGCAGGGAAGAAGGTGGGAGGGGTAGGGAGCTAGAGAGGCAGTGAGGAGGATTAACCAAAGTTAACAGTAAATAGAAAGCCATGTGGAAACCTATTGTGTTACAATTCAAGTAAAAAAGAAGTTGAAGCAAGTTACCCTACATAACTGATAAACCTGCTTCTAAAAGCAGTGGATTACTAAACAACCAGACACCTTCACAGGAGCTGGTCGGAGGTCCCAGAGGATCCCAAAAGAATGAAGCCCTTGTCTGTCTGGATTGCTCACTAGAACTAGAGGCTAAGACTATTGCTGAAGGCACCATGCACCTCAGTTACAGATACAGAGAAAGCAAGCTGGAACTAAGCTGAAAGCTGCTTCCTCCTGCTGGTTAGTTTTCATAGTGGTTGGTGACATGTAGGCTCCTGGGGGTAGGACAGGGAGGCATCAATGGTCTCACCCAGTTGTGAACCACTAAACCAGTGTCCTAGGCAAGATATGCCTACCTGTACAGTGGTGGCACAACCATTGTGAGCGTAACCAACTGCCTGCTGTGTGTGTTTAAGGCCCACTCCTCAGAGGTTAACAATCTATGTCTGGGGAAGTCTAAGGAAGAAACTGACCACTATTATCTAACCTAATTAACATAGCATCAAACTGCTGTCCAAGTATCTGTTTATAGAGATAGACAAATGTGAACAACAGTGAATGCAAAGAATCAAGGCTGCCCAAGATCCCGAGCAAAAGTGACAGGTTAGGGCTAAAAATCACCCCAGCTAAGGCTCATTACAGAAGAGGGAGAAGAAACTATGTAAGATCCAAAGTTAGTGTGGAATGCCATCCTCCAGATTCATACAACAGTTGTAATCATGAACTCAAAATTGTCATTACCTGCACTGCACCACACAAGACTTGTCAAGAATCTGGAATGTTATTTTAAGCACCAGTGACGCTGCCCAATGAGGTGAGAAGCCTTAAGAGTTTTCATACAATTCAGAGGTTATGAGGGACATTGTGACAAGGAGGATAACAAGTGGAGCTGTGATCTGTAAACAGGCTAAGTCCTCAGTACGCAGTCCTCGGGGCTCTGCCTCTCCAAGCTCATTTGGCATGATTTTGCTAGTGGCCAGTCTGTGGTCTGAGTTCCAAGGTTGCTTACTGTTCCTCTCAAATGCCACCAACAATTAGCATCTCACAGGGATGAGCTCGCTTCATGGTTTTCCAATAGAACAGCACAGTCTTCTTGATGTCACATATACACAAATGACAAAAATCAGACTCACAGATAAAAGCATTTAAAAATAATGATAGAAAAAATGCACCCTAAGGATTTAAAATAGAGATGAGTGGTTGCCTTACATATATAAAAGATTAGGATTGTGATTTTTTTTTTCAGATTTTTTAAAAGATTATTGATTGATCCTTTCTTTGTAACCATGAAATGAAGCCTGCTAGTAAAAAGAAAACTGGCTGAAAAAGATACCTTCCTTACACTTTGTTAATCTATAGCCCATTGCTGAGACATTAATATGTGTGGGTCTTTGGGAATAATTTGTTTTTTTCACCTGCAATATATAAAATGTTTAATCATATCAGGGAAATGAGAAACATGCTATTTTCTTACCAGTATTCATTGTAACCATTCAGTTGAACAATGGAATGTACCCACATTGTAATTTTAATACTGCTTGCAAGATTTTGAGGGGGTTATGTAAGCTATTGGGGGGAAAATAAAGAATGAGGGAAGGAAGATATCAGGAAGGTGTTAGAAGGAAATAACCATGAAAGAGTCTGAAGCAAGACATCAGGAAAAAAGGTAAAAGAAAATACAATGAAGAGAGACCCTGACATTTTGGAAAAAAAAAAAAAAGAATCTGAAATGGAAGGGAGAGGAGCCGTGGGGCCGTATCTACTCTTCGGTGCTGAACTATTTGTAGATTCGGGGAGAGGGGGAATCATTGACTTCAGATATGTGCCCCATGCTGAGTCTGCCCGGCTCAGATACACAGCTCCAAACCCCCATCACACAGGTGGCCCCTAGTTAAACTGAATGTGAGGAAGAGGTTTGTAGGGAAGGATGAGGATAAACAGGAGTGGGGAGGTGGGAGAGGGTGGGGGTTGGGAGTGGTCAGCATGCATTATGTATGTGTGTCAAAGAACTGTCAAAGAATGAATTGAATAAACTCATACAAAATCCATACATAATAGTTTCTTATACTCATTAAAATCCATTGGTCTTATTCTCTCAGAATGTTCATCATATAAGATAAAATTGACTGGTGTCACCATGGTTTTGAGGAAATTGAGGAATTCTGGAAGCTGCTGAGCTCTCTGGTGTGTGTAGAAAGCTTGAGTATTAGCCTTGGTAGCTTTCCGGGACCTTTTAACCTTCACTTGTATTTGAGAAAATGCCCCCACTACCCAGGTACAAAAAAAGCCGAGTTCTCCAGTTAGTCAAGTGTTGAGGGCATTTGGCCAGCTCAGCCTGCAGTAACACTAGCGCTTTCCTCAAGAGTGAGCAGCCATGTTCCCAAATTCACCCGAAGGGAGTGCTTTCTATGTATCACCCATCTTGTTGGGGTTGAGAATGTACTCTCAATGGAGACGATACGGTGAATGGTGAATTTTTTTTTTTTTCATCATCAAGGGCATTATTAAATAAACTGGCTCACTACTACTTTTTTTAAAAAAAAAGTTCAAATCTAATTCTTTTGACTGTTTGGGGAGGAGAGGTGGCAGACAATAGAAGAGGAAATATTTATTTGAGTCTTGATTTCATTTGCTCTGCATTTCATTGTGACAACAAACATTGGCTGCTGAAAGATATTGTAGCTTTTGAGCACTTAAAAGTACACTCTCCCTTACAAACCTACACTAGTTAGCCTTATTATAAAGACAAGAGCTGAAGATTCATGATAGTTCTCTAAGACAGCAGAGTCATCCGGGAAGCTGCCAGACAGGGCAGATGAACGAATGCATTCGAATGCTGCTCTAGGCTGACCAATTACCCATAGAGCAGCAATTATATTAGCGTGCAA